CCCCTTTCCCAGCTGAAACAGCAGCATTATTATCACACTGAAGGGACTCATATGGAACACTGTCATTCTAATATCAGGGGTGACATCTCTGATGGTTCTGGATCCTTCCAGTGCTGTCCATCACTGCAGGCACCTCTTGGCCCCACTGGTACCGAGGTCTCCACACCAGCTGATGAAAAGCAGCTTCTTCATTCTGGTCTAGTTCACAAGTTTGCAAGTGCAAAGAGCCCTAAAAGCTGTGTCAGAGGTGCAGAGGTCACACTGCAGGGCTGGTTTGGGACACACCTCCCCGCACTGGAATGCAAGAGTCTGTTCACCTCTTCTCCTCAAAGGTGAAGCTTCACTTTAAGGTGACAGGAAGGATTTAGTCCACATCATTCACATCAATACATGCTGATCAACTGCAAGACAGTACTGCTACTGCAATTTTTTATAAGTAATCCTTTAAATCTTTGGAGGAATGATTTCCCAACCACAAACACACGTGGGCAGTGGATGCCTGTCCAACTGTGTGTTAGTTCTTATAATACTTGCTTAATTCCTCTAATTAAAAAAAAAAATATCATAAAGCCCTATAACCTTAGACATTAAGGTCTTTTTGAAAGAGAAACTGTAAAATAAAATTCATGCTTGTAGTGTTTATAATACATTGGTTTCATTACAGGAATACCTCTACAACAGCACTCTGAAAGTACAATTAAATTGCTGATACTGTTAAAGAGAAGGGGGAAAATAAACAAACAAAAAAGCCAAAACCCCCAAACAAACAACAAAAAAAACCCAACAAAAATAAAGAGACAAACAAACAAATAAAACCAACCCAATCACAAAACACTTGGAAACTAAGGAAAAAGACAAAGGTGAAGTGCTTGTATGACCTTAATTCACCTCCATTTTATCCTTAACAGAGAATACCAGGAATCTTATCTGCAGCCTTCACTGTTGGTAACAGCAATAGCTGTTTGCACTGGCAGCTCTCCAAGCAGAGATACCGTGCATAGAAAAGCACATGGGAAACCAAGTATCAAGATCATAAACTGCTAATACAAAAAGTTATTATAAAAAAAAAACCAAACAACTATCTGAATTATTTGTAATTCTCTTCTTGGCCACAACAATCTGTAGGTGCAGCTGTGAAGGTGCCAAAAAGCTATTTAAATTGAAAGTCTGGCACGTGTCCTTTATTACCCTATTAAATTTTTTAAGTGTCATCTTAAGGACCAAAAATGATGGGAGGAACATTACCTGCTTTTGGAGAAAAAGAGATCATTATTTTTAGCCATCATATGTGTGAAGAAAAAGTGCCCTGACACTAATATATCAATATTTGGAACTAAACACTAAAATGCCAGGCCTTGAATACCATCATTTGTACCCATTTGTCTTGACACTTAAAAGTCACCTTAACAAGAGCTCAGTTTGCTGTTTACCCCACCGAGCAGTTCTGCAAAGCTGAGCTGAGGCTCAGGAAAGGCAGTAAATTAAATCCAAGGGAGAGAAATGCAGGTGCTCAGGTAACACCAGGAAGAAACAGTTCCCACTGTGCCCAATTCTCCTTCAGCTCAGTGGCAGATTTCCCACGTGCTGGGCCTGGGCCCAGAATCAGGAGGCAGAGAAGCTTCTCTTCTTTTGTGTCTTGGCAAAAGGATTGAAAATTTTCCACCTTGAAATTCCTGTGGGCTTTTCTGAATGGAAACTCTTCTGCTGTGGTAACAGTAAGTGCTCTTCATTAGCCTGATTAAGTCAGTCAAAATCTGTGGAAAGATTTTAAATAAATTCGCTGGGCTTTGGGTCAGCAAAATGTAAATGAAATAAAGATGCAGCTCATAGCAAGTAATCCTGCAAAGAGTGACCTTTCCTTTACTCTCACTGAGGTCAAGGAGAGTTGAGGACATCAAGTCCTTGATCTCTGACTTAGGTCCAACAGCTTTTAAAAGACTATCAGGTATGTTTGAAAGCTTCAGTGTATTTAGTAGAGGCTGTGGTGAAATCTTTTTCATATGTTATAAAATAAAATAATTCCAATTCCTGTATGCTGGGACTTTTTCTGAAGTAGCTGGGAGCCCTACTCAGGATCTTCAGAACAGACTTATGTTTTCAAATATCATTTTCTGATGGGGAAATCAAAATTTTCTTGTCTGAACTTAAAGCCATTGTCCTCATTAATATAAAAATTAGAAAAAAGGGATGTAAACATAAAAACACTTATGGATATTTGAGTTTCATAACCCAGTACTATGACTTCACTTTCTTACCTTTCCCTTGCCAAAAACCATTTCCATCTCCTGGACTAGGGACAATAGCAGCAAAACCTATTATTTGTATGAAAATCATGAGGGGCACTCTGAGGGAAAGTCAAGATTGAACCAAGGCAGGGCCTCCAGGTTGGTCTGCAGGAGGCACAGCACCCACAGCACAGCAGGGTTTATTAGCTTGGTTTAGCCTGGCAGGACACAAGTAAGGGGAAGAATGTGTGCCTGCAGTCTGCTGAGAAGACATATGCTAAATATCCCAGGCTTCAGGAAATATCCTACATCATAATAGCTCTGCCGTTCTCAATTTGTCTGCCTCCAGACAAATGTTTTTCAGGTGGTTTTTTTTACAGGAAGCATTCCCTTGTTCAAAATTGAATTTAAAATGCTCCGGAAATGCTTAAACACGGCAGCCAACAGGTCTAACATTTAAGGTCATGGCGTTATGGCTCTGTCTCACTCTTGCCTGTAGCCAGTGAGCTGGGAAAACAGGAGCTTCCTTCAGCCCACTGGAGCTGAAGGATGGCAGGAGTGGAGGCAGGGTCGGTGTGTGGGCAAAGAGGTGCTGCCAGGACAGACCCTGGAGCAGCAGGGACAGCCCAGAGGGAGCAGAACCCAGGACAAACCCTGGAGCAGAACCCAGGACAGACCCTGGAGCAGAACCCAGGACAGACCCTGGAGCAGAACCCAGGACAGACCCTGGAGCAGCAGGGACAGCCCAGGGGAGCAGTTGTGCTCAGCCCCTCTGGGCTGCAGGGCACTCCCTGCACAGCCCTGGGCTCGAGGCAGGGCAGTGCCCAGCACCAGGGCATGGAGCCTGCTCGTGTGCATTCCCTGTTCCCCCCTNGGAGCAGAACCCAGGACAGACCCTGGAGCAGCAGGGACAGCCCAGGGGGAGCAGTTGTGCTCAGCCCCTCTGGGCTGCAGGGCACTCCCTGCACAGCCCTGGGCTCGAGGCAGGGCAGTGCCCAGCACCAGGGCATGGAGCCTGCTCGTGTGCATTCCCTGTTCCCCCCTGCTTCCTGCAACACACAACACAGGAAAACACAGACACCCTGCTCTATCCAGGCTTGCTATCTACAGAATCACAGAACACTCTGAGCTGGAAGGGACCCATGAGAATCATCGAAGTCCAGCTGTGCAGGCCAAGCTCCCATCCAAGGAGCCTGTCTGCATTCCCAGCAGGACAGAGAGCACAGAGCAGAGTGAGGAGGGAATGAATAGTTTCCCCTGGCACCCTCTTGGTGTCACAGACAGGACTAAAATCCTGGGTACACCTGAGCTGGCTCCTCATGGAAACCCCGCAGATCCATCTGTTTGCACCCCTCCTCGTTGGCAGGGATGTGATGGACCATCTGCTGGGTCTGCCAAGCCTCAGAATGACCCACACGAGTCAGGATTATTCACCACAACTCTGCCCCTCAGCACGAAATCCTGCTGCCCTGCCAGCACTGTCTGCAGCCCAGCTCTGTCACAGCACTAGGGATGGGGGGTGTGGAGGACAGACCTCAGTGACACTGCCCCTCAGACAGCCCTCAGTGGCACTGCACCTCAGACATCCCTCAGTGACACTGCCCCTCAGACAGACCTCAGTGACAGTGCATTTCAGACACCCTCAGTGACACTGCCCCTCAGACATCCCTCAGTGACAGTGCCCCTCAGACAGCCCTCAGTGACACTGCCCCTCAGACAGCCCTCAGTGACAGTGCACTTCAGACAGCCCTCAGT